TGTTTCTAAAGGAACTTTTGTTATTGCCAAATGCCAATGTGTTTGCATTATTAAGTTTGTTACGAATAAAAAAATCATTTTAAGTTAGAGTTTAATAATTATTTCACTATTAATATACTTCTTAATTGTATTTCAGTTCAACAATTACTTTGATAAAATACACATTTTGTTGTGTGTAAATGGCTTGAGATACCTATTAGGTCCATAAATCACCATATAGTATTTATTCAAACACAAGAAACAGCGACAATTTGTTGTTGACAAAGGACAGCTGGACATATAAAGGGCCCCATTACCTTCAGTAGCTGAGGGTCACATCAAACCTAAATCCGGCCCTGGCCACCAGAAGGAAAGCGTGGGGGGGAGGACTACAGTGAAAGTGGGAATGGAGAAATGGGGGTCATTTTTCTCCAGTTTCCCCCATTCTTTTTTCCAGTTTTTTAGGGACAAATTGAAGGGGGGGGAGAGGAAAATGGGGAAGGGAAACCCCTCCCCTGAGTCTCTCCCCCCCCCCCCGCTTCATATATCTCTGGTCCCCCAGATATGCTTGGATCAGAATTCCAACCATCCTCATCCCTGACCAGTGGCCACACTGGGACTACTGGGAGGTGGTGGGGTCTAACAATATTTGGAAGGCAGCAGGTTAGACACCCCTGAACTAAAGGGATGGGAGTATAATTGTGGGCCCTACCTTATTTTTATCCTTGTAAGTTCTTTTAAACTGCTCTTAATATTTCATTTCTTGGTTGTCTCAAGGATTTGGCCCCAGTGTGGTTTTTAAGGCTCCAGGTATCTTTTGCCAAACTCAATTCCCATCCCTTCTCTTATTCTTACACCGTCTGAATCCGGAGAGATTATTGCAAAAATGAAATAAAAAGAACTGGGAGAATTTGAATTCATTTTAAATCCCAGCACATTCAAGCCACGCTTTTGGCAGTAACTGACCTTTGGGTGGAAGCTAGTAGTTAATTTCGCGCCAACGCTTTGGTGAAGGAAGCCTCAACTGGTTGGGAGGAAAATGGAAAGAAATTCTGGGCAGGAATTATCCAAATTTCTGGCAGCTGTCAGAGCCTCAGTTGCCCCCTAACTTGAAAACCTCACTTGTGACTTTCGCTTTGGTGCAAAAGTAGGTGAGATTTAGCATTAGCTGAAAGATACTAAGTCATATATTGCATGTTGCCAAAGGCTTGGAGGACCCTGGTAAATTCTAAGCTGTTCGGTGGGATTTTATCTTCGATACAGCAAATGCAGACACCCAGGACTCCCTCCCCACAGTGCAACATGAAATTTGGCTTTCCTGGTGGTCTTAAGCAGTCTACCAGCCTAATCACAGAACTGCAGAGTTGGAAGAGACCCCGAGGGTCATCTAGTCCAACCCCCTGCAATGCAGAAATCTTTTGCACAACGTGGGGCTCGAACCCACAAACCTAAGAGTCTCATGCTCTACCGACCGATAACACTTTATTAGAAAAGTAAGCAGTGGTGAAGTCACTTATTTAAGATATTTATCCTGTTAGATTCCAAGCAGATCAATTTTCAGTATCTTTTAATAGTCTGCTCCTGGTTAATATTACGTGTTTTCCGGATAAACCACACTGGTTTTTCTGAACTTCTGTTACTTTTATTCTATCAGTTTTCCCCCTTCTCCACCCAACCAGTTTGCGCTTCCATCCCCTCCTTTCCCTCCTGTTGTCTTCGAGCCGAAGGCCGAGTATTGGCTGGCCTTCCTCTCAGTCCTCAATGACGCCCTTCCAGTAACAAGGCTGGTTGGTGGCGGGTAGTTCCACACACACACACACGAGACTGTGGAGTAACCCGCTTTCCTTCTGCTGTGCACTCCTTTCTCAGAGCCACGAATTCCGGATTCCGGCCGATCAGGGCATCGCGGGCCACGTGGCGACCACAGGGAAGATCCTCAACATCAAGGACGCCTATTCGCACCCGCTCTTCTACCGTGGGGTGGACGACAGCACTGGCTTTCGCACCCGGAACATCCTCTGCTTCCCCATCAAGGACGAGAACCAGGGTGAGTGTGTGGAAGAAGCGCAACGCCAGGTGTGCGCAATGCCCCATGCGGGTGAGATGTTTGAGAAGCCCCTCGTGCCCCATCTTCCGTGCTCCTCCAAGTGGGAGAAGGATCAACGTCCCTTCCCCTTTCGCCTCCACCTGGGCTCACCGACTTACTTGAGAGTAACTGACAGCTCCCTTGCCTCTTGACGTGCCAAGAAGAAGGCACATCATCGGAGCATCCTTTGGAAGGGAGAAAGAAAGGGAAACATAAGGAGAGCTTGCTGAATCAGGCCAGCAACATGCCAATTATGGGAAACCCTCAAGCAGGATTCGAACACATGATCCCTCTCCCCTCCTGCTCTATTCCAGCAACTGGCATTCAGAAGCAGAGCCCTCCTGACTAGTAGCAACTGATAGCCCTCTTCTCCTCCATGAATTTATCTAATCCACTCACTGCTGCCTCTGGTGGGAGAGAGTTCCGTAGTCTAACTATGCACTGCAATTGTGGGAATGTTCAGGAAGACAGGAGAGGATATATTGTTTATTAATATTCTTCCTAATTTGTTCCAGCAAGTTCTATAATGCAGCAGAGTTTCACATTTTCCTTTTAAACACACAGCAGATAGCTGGTTGCAGGCTAGTGTAAGCCTTTCACTATTAAATTCCTGGTAAGTTCCCTTATAAGGGATGCGTGGGGCTCTGTGGGTTAAACCACAGAGTCTAGGGCTTGCCGATCAGAAGGTCGGTGGTTCGAAACCCCGCAACGGGGTGAGCTCCCATTGCTCTGCCCAACCTAGCAGTTCGAAAGCACACCAGTGCAAGTAGATAAATAGGGAAGGTAAATGGCGTTTCCGTGCACTGCTTTCGTTCGCCAGAAGCGGCTTAGTCATGCTGACCACATGACCCGGAAGCTGTACGCCGGCTCCCTCGGCCACTAAAGCGAGATGAGCGCCACAACCCCAGAGTCGGCCATGACTGGACCTAATGATCAGGGGTCCCTTTACCTTTACCTAAGTTCCCTTATATCCCTCTTAAAAGAATAAACATGCCGCAATCTTGTTTAAAGTATATAAAAGAAGTTTACTCACGTCAACAGTTCACAGTTGGATCCCTAACAGCAGACTTAGTTACATGTGGATCTATCCCATATGGGGATAATCCCAGTGTCCTCTGCTAGCTGAAAGCCAACAGAGTATCTCTAGCTAAAAAGCTGCTTCAACGACGGAGGAAGTCAAAGAGAGGAAAGAGGAAAAGAGAAAGAGTGTTGTGTGCCTCGTGCTTTTGTTACCTGGACAGGTAAAGTCACGCCCACCTCTAGTCACATGCAAAGAAAGTATGTCCCAGCCCAGGAGGAAAGAGGAAGTTCTGAATGGCTGGACCAAACATCCCCTTGCATGTCCACTCTAGGAAAACAAGGAATGTTGTACTTGACTGCTATCTATGTATCACATCCCACAGCAATCGGGTGTGCTCCTTCTCCTGCCCATCCGATGCAAGAACTCACCTGTTGTCTTCTTCTCCGCTTCTTCCAGAGGTCATTGGAGTGGCTGAGCTGGTGAACAAAATCAATGGGCCTTGGTTCAGCAAATTTGACGAGGATCTGGCCACCGCCTTCTCCATCTACTGTGGCATCAGCATCGCCCACGTAAGCAGGATCCTTTGGGTTCCCCTGGATCTTTTCTCCACCCCGGGTAGAGCTGTACACCTCCCTTGCACAGTGGACCAGCCTTCTCCAACCTAGTGCTCTCCAGAAGCCTTGGGTGCAGCCCCCACGACTGCACCAGCTGGGAGGGCACCAGGTTGGGGAAGACTGCAACGGACCATATTCTTTCCAGGGAAGAGGGTGCAAAGCAAGCCTTCTTGCTGAAGATCACTAGATTTTGATCCATTAACACAGAGACGCGTTTCCATCCTATAAAAAGGTTTTTCAAGCTTTTACTTGCAGATCTTTCTTCAGAAACAAAACAAAAGCATCCAAGATACGTCAAAAACATCCATACACTCGAGTAGGACCCTGGCAGAGACACATGCCTGACTGGCATGTTCTCTCCCTCCTGGTCTTTTGTTCGGGGGCTTCAAAAGCTTTCTTCAGCCCGAATATCACAGCGACCGATGTCAACAGACATCGGCACACTTAGGGATCCGCAGAGTTTGCGCACCTTGCACATGACAGACCTCAGCAACTCAGCATTTTGGCTAATCTACTTTATTTGCATATAAACACGCGGAGCACTGCAACATGGCTCCCTCTCTCTCTAGCATCAGACAGCAAAGAGAAAAAGAACAAAGGACAATAGTCCCACTTCACGGAACACAGGAACACAAACATCCTGTCTCCGTCACTTCCCACTGTGTGGAATAAAAACATACACAATCATGTGATAGAGAACAATCCCATGACTGCAATCGTGGAGCAGGAATTCTAACAGGGGGCACCACTGGAAGCCTTCATGGGTGCTTTGGTGCCCGTGGTCACTGGATTGGCGACCCCTACCCTAACATATTCCCTACCCACCCCTTGTTTTCCTTCACTCCAGTCTCTGCTCTACAAGAAGGTCCACGAAGCCCAGTACCGAAGCCACCTGGCCAACGAGATGATGATGTACCATATGAAGGTAAGGCTGGCTTGCCTTTGCGTTATAGAATAATAGAACTGTAGAGTTAGAAGGGACCCCAAAGGTCATCCAGTCCAACCCCCTGCCATGCAGGAATCCCAGCTCCAGAATCGCTGGCAGGTGGCCATCCAACCTCTGTATAGATATCTCGAGTGAAGTCTACCGCCTTCCGAGGGAAACCATTGCACTGTTGAGCTCTTACAGTCAGAAGGGTCTTCCTAATGTTCAGCTGCATTTCTGGTTAATTGAATCCATTGGTCCAAGTCCTTCCCTATGGAGCATCAGAAAACAAGCTGACTCCCTCTTGCTGCATCACCTTCCTCTTGGGGGCATGTGAGGGGGGTAGACCTGCGCTATCTCCAGCATCAGTATACTGATAGCATAGCTCAGTGGCAGAGCATCTGCTTGGCATGCAGGAGGTTCTGAGTTCAAACCCTGGCAGCATCTTCAGGTATAATAATAATAATAATAGCAATAGTAATAATAACAACATTTATTTATTTATACATACCCCGCCCATCTCGCTGGGTTTCCCCAGCCACTCTGGGCAGCTCCCAACAGAATATTAAAAACACAATACAGCATTAAACATTAAAAACTTCCCTAAGCCTTCAGATGTCTTTTAAAAGTAAAATAGCTGCGTATTGCCTTGACATCTGGTGGGAGGGCGTTCCACAGGACGGGCGCCACCACCGAGAAGGCCCTCTGCCTGGTTCCCTGTAACCTCACTTCTCGCAGGGAGGGAATCACCAGAAGGCCCTCAGAGCTGGACCTCAGTGTCCTGGCTGAACGATGGGGGTTCAAGTATACTGGGCCGAGGCCATTTAAAGGTCAGCACCAACATTTTGAATTGTGCTCGGAAACATACTGGGAGCCAATGCAAATCTCTCAGGACCAGTGTTATATGGTCTCAGCGGCCGCTCCCAGTCACCAGTCTAGCTGCCACATTCTGGATTAGTTGTAGTTGTAGTTTCCGGGTCACCTTCAAAGGTAGCCCCACATAGAGCGCATAGCAGTAGTCCATGCGGGAGATAACCAGAGCATGCACCACTCTGGCAAGACAGTCTGCGGGCAGGGAGGGTCGCAGCCTGCGTACCAGATGGAGCTGGTAAACAGCTGCCCTGGACACAGAATGGATCTGCGTCTCCATGTACAGTGGTGAGTCCAAAATGACCCCCATGCTGTGCACCTGGTCCTTCAGGGGCACAGTTACCCCATTCAGGACCAGGGAGTCCCCCACACCCACCCGCTCCCTGTCCCCCAAACACAGTACTTCTGTCTTGTCAGAATTCAACCTCAATCCGTTAGTCACCATCCAGCCTCCAACCGCCCAGGTAGGGCTGGGGAAGACCTTGGAGAGTTAGAATCATAGAATCATAGGCTTGGGAAGGGACCCTGAGGGTCATCCAGTCCAGCCCCCTGCGATGCACGAATCTGCTGCCAGTCATACTAGGAAATACTTAGGTGGGTGGACCATGGCTCTGACTCTGTGCCTGCCAGCTGCCTAGATTCCTGTCATCCTATTTCAGCTTATGGCAGCCTCTGCTCACCTGGCACCTTGCACTGTTGAACTACAACTCCCACCGTGGCTGGGCCTGAGGGAAGTTGTGCTCCAACAACCTCCGGCAGGCAGCAGGTTGCATTGGCAGTTTAGCTTAAAGTTGGGATTATGACTCCAGTTGTCATCTAGTCTAACCCCCAGAAGTCTTGATTGTCACCATTTCTTCTCCTCAAAATAGCTTGTTCCACATAATAATAATAATAATAATAATAATAATAATAATAATAAAGGCGGCACCAGCTATTTTTCCTTTTGAAAAGCTAAGCGCTGCTTCGTCTTCCAGGTTTCAGATGATGAATACACCAAGCTCCTCAACGAAGGAATTGTGCCCGTCTCAGAAATTGACCCCAGCTTTGCCAAATTCACCTACACCCCCCGTTCCCTTCCAGAGGACGACACGTCTATGGTGAGCGTTGAGGGCGGAGGAGAAATTTGGTTGGGTTTGCATTTTAATGTGAGATGTACCTGTTTTGTACTTTCCAAAACAAGGCAAAACACAGGGATCCTTAGAAATCGGCAGTGCTCCAGATTTTGTGAGGGAGATCTCCACCCCTACAGCTTACGCCCTCTGTGCTTTCTTAGGCTGATGGGAGTTGTAATACAAAGGTGGTGATGTGGTCTAAACCACTGAGCCTCTTGGGCTTGCCGATCAGAAGGCCGGTGGTTCGAATCCGGCCTTATCAGAGCTTGCAGGGCAGCAGTTGAAGAAGGAGCAAAAAGGGTTTTCTTGTGTGTGTGTGTGTGTGTGTGTGTGTGTTTCTTTGTGGCTGATTAGCTGTTCTTCCTGTGCAAAGGTCAGAGGGGGCAGGGTTTCTGTTGAGGCAGGTGATTAGCTGTGGGAGGAGCTTATCAGAGCTTGCAGGGCAGCAGTTGAAGAAGGAGCAAAAAGGGTTTTCTTGTGTGTGTGTGTTTCTTTGTGGCTGATTAGCTGTTCTCCCTGTGCAAAGGTCAGAGGGGGCAGGGTTTCTGTTGAGGCAGGTGATTAGCTGTGGGAGGAGCTTATCAGAGCCTGCAGGGCAGCAGTTGAAGAAGGAGCAAAAAGGGTTTTCTTGTGTGTGTGTGTTTCTTTGTGGCTGATTAGCTGTTCTCCCTGTGCAAAGGTCAGAGGGGGCAGGGTTTCTGTTGAGGCAGGTGATTAGCTGTGGGAGGAGCTTATCAGAGCCTGCAGGGCAGCGGCGCACGCCTAGTGGCGCGCGCAGTTTGATCCATCCTTTAGATTTAGGGGAGCTAGTCTCAAACGTTTGTTGGGGGAGACCTAGGTTTTTTTGGTTTTTTTGTGGGGGGAGTTATTTGTCTTGTCTTTACGCTTTTTTTTTTGATGGAGGACCGCTGTAGCCAGCCCCAACGACACGTTCTCAAGATGGAGGGGGAGGGAACAGCTGCAGTCGCCTGCGGTTCCTGCGCAATGTTTGCCATCTTGCCAAAGGTTGCAGGCAGCTTTACCTGCAGCAATTGCATGTTGATTGCCCTCTTAGAAGACAAAGTCCAGCAACTGGAGGAACGTGTAGCTACGCTCCAAAGAATTAGAGAGCTGGAGCTCTTCTTGGAAGCAACAGAGCACACCGTCTCCACCAAGGAGGAGACAGGGGACTCCCCTGACAAGGAGGCTAGTGCACCAACACAGGAGCCAGATATATGGAGAAACGTGACTCAAAGAAGTAGGAGGCCCAAGGTTTGCTCTGATTGTTTAGAAATACACAATCGCTTTGAGGTCCTCTCCCCTAGCATGGAAGACGAAGAGCAGACTCCATTTGAGGATCTCTCCCTCATTACAGTTGATCAGGTATATGAAGACGAGCAGCAAAGTCAGTCCTCAGGGAATGTGCAGGCGACCTTGGAACGGACAGCTCACGGAAGAACCCCGACCAAACCTAAGAGGAGGCGTGTAGTGGTGATAGGAGATTCCCTACTGAGGGGAACAGAAGCAGTGATCTGTGGGCCTGACAAGATGTCTCGGGAAGTGTGCTGTCTCCCGGGGCTAAGATCCAAGATGTAACTGAACGACTGCAAGGAATCATAAAACCCACTGACAAATACCCTCCTCTTGGTTCATGTGGGAACCAATGACACTGCGAGCAATAGCCTCCAGAAGATCAAAAGAGACTACGAGGCTCTGGGCAGGAAGTTGAAGCAATTAAATGCACAAATTGTCATCTCATCTGTCCTCCCAGTTGAACGACGTGGCCCAGGGAGAGAGGGGAAAATAGTGGAAGTGAACAGCTGGCTTCGCAAATGGTGTAAACAGGAACGGTTTGGATTCTTAGATCACGGACTGCAGTTTCTTGAAGATGGACTTCTGGCAAGCGATGGGCTGCACCTCACAACGGTTGGGAGAAATGTTTTTCCCAAAATCTCAGAAACCTCATCAGGAGGGCTTTAAACTGACTAATGTGGGGAGGGAGACAGTGCTCCTGAAGGTAGGAGTCTATCAATTGATGAAGATGATCATCCAAATGTCATAGACCAAATGGAGCAAACAGCACACAGACCTAGTGGTGGGAGGAAAAATCCTTAAATAAGAAACACGGGGAATGATTAATGGACTTCAATGTCTGTACACTAATGCGCAAAGCATGGGAAATAAACAAGATGAGCTTGAGCTCTTGGTACAGCAAACTAAATATGACATAATAGGCATCACTGAAACCTGGTGGGATAAGTCCCACGATTGGAATGTAATAATGGGGGATACAATCTATTTCAGAGAAACAGACCAGACAAGAAAGGAGGAGGAGTGGCGTTATATGTCAGGGATGTGTATACTTGTGAAGAGATCCAAGATTTAGAACCTCAAAGCCAAAGTGAGAGCATTTGGGTCAAAATTAAGGGAGAGAAGAATAACAGTGACCTCATTGTGGGAGTTTACTATAGATCCCCAAGCCAAACGGAGGACATAGATGATGCCTTCCTGGAACAGATGGCCAAGCATGCAAAAGGAAAGGAGATAGTAGTAATGGGGGACTTCAATTACCCGGATATTTGTTGGACGTCAAACTCAGCCAAGAGCATAAGGTCAAACAGATTCCTCACTGGCCTTGCAGACAACTTCATTGTCCAGAAAGTGGGAGAAGCAACAAGAGGAACAGCCATTTTAGATCTGGTCCTAACCAATGTTGATGACCTGGTTAGTGGGGTAGAAGTGGAAGGATCATTAGGCACGAGTGATCATGCTCTTCTGAAGTTTACTATACAGCGGAAAGGAGCAGCCAAGCATACTAGGACTCAATTTCTTAACTTTAAGAAAGCCGACTTCATAAAACTTAGGGAAGTGCTGGGTGAGATCCCATGGACAATAATACTAAAAGGAAAGGGAGTTCATGATGGCTGGGAGTTTGTTAAGAGGGAGATACTAAAAGCACAACGTCAGGCAATACCAATGAGACGGAAACATGGAAGGTGCCTAAAGAAGCCAGGGTGGCTATCTAAAGAACTTTTAACTGAGTTAAGATTAAAAAGGATGTGTACCAAAAATGGAAAAGGGGGGAACCACCAAAGAGGAATTCAAACAAATAGCCAGCACGTGTAGACACAAAGTCAGAAAAGCTAAAGCACAGAATGAACTCAGGCTTGCTAGAGAGGTTAAAAGCAACAAAAAGGCTTTTATGGGTATGTTCGTAGCAAAAGGAAGAACAAAGAAACAGTGGGGTCACTCAGAGGAGAAGATGGTGAAATGCAAACAGGGGACACAGAAAGGGCTGAACTCCTCAATGCCTTCTTTGCCTCAGTCTTCTTCGATAAAGAAAACAATGCCCGACCTGAAGAATTTGGAGCAAATGATTCAGCAAAGGAAACACAGCCCAGAATAACTAAGGAGATAGTACAAGAATACTTGGCTAGTTTAGATGTATTCAAGTCTCCAGGGCCAGATGAACTGCATCCAAGAGTATTAAAAGAACTGGCAGATGTGATCTCAGAACCACTGGCAGTCATCTTTGAGAATTCCTGGAGAACAGGCGAAGTCCCGGCAGACTGGAGGAGGGCAAATGTTGTCCCTATTTTCAAAAAGGGGAAAAGAGAGGACCCAAACAATTACCGCCCAGTCAGTCTGACATCAATACCAGGGAAGATTCTGGAGCAGATCATTAAGCAAACAGTCTGTGACCAGCTAGAAAGGAATGCTGTGATCACCAATAGTCAGCATGGATTTCTGAAAAATAAGTCATGTCAGACTAACCTGATCTCGTTTTTTGATAGAATTACAAGCCTGGTAGATGAAGGGAACGCAGTGGATGTAGCCTACCTTGATTTCAGCAAGGCATTTGACAAGGTGCCCCATGATATTCTTGTAAAGAAGCTGGTAAAATGCGGTCTTGACTATGCTACCACTCAGTGGATTTGTAACTGGCTGACTGACCGAACCCAAAGGGTGCTCATCAATGGTTCCTCTTCATCCTGGAGAAGAGTGACTAGTGGGGTGCCACAGGGTTCTGTCTTGGGCCCGGTCTTATTCAACATCTTTATCAACCACTTGGATGATGGACTCAAGGGCATCCTGATCAAATTTGCAGATGACACCAAACTGGGAGGGGTGGCTAACACCCCAGAGGACAGGATCACACTTCAAAACGACCTTGACAGATTAGAGAACTGGGCCAAAACAAACAAGATGAATTTTAACAGGGAGAAATGTAAAGTATTGCACTTGGGCAAAATAAATGAGAAGCACACATACAAGATGGGTGACACCTGGCTTGAGAGCAGTACATGTGAAAAGGATCTAGGAGTCTTGGTTGACCACAAACTTGACATGAGCCAACAGTGTGACGTGGCAGCTAAAAAGCCAATGCAATTCTGGGCTGCATCAATAGGAGTATAGCATCTAGATCAAGGGAAGTAATAGTGCCACTGTATTCTGCTCTGGTCAGACCTCACCTGGAGTACTGTGTCCAGTTCTGGGCACCACAGTTCAAGAAGGACACTGACAAACTGGAACGTGTCCAGAGGAGGGCAACCAAAATGGTCAAAGGCCTGGAAACGATGCCTTATGAGGAACGGCTAAGGGAGCTGGGCATGTTTAGCCTGGAGAAGAGGAGGTTAAGGGGTGATATGATAGCCATGTTCCAATATATAAAAGGATGTCACATAGAGGAGGGAGAAAGGTTGTTTTCTGCTGCTCCAGAGAAGCGGACACGGAGCAATGGATCCAAACTACAAGAAAGAAGATTCCACCTAAACATTAGGAAGAACTTCCTGACAGTAAGAGCTGTTTGACAGTGGAATTTGCTGCCAAGGAGTGTGGTGGAGTCTCCTTCTTTGGAGGTCTTTAAGCAGAGGCTTGACAACCATATGTCAGGAGTGCTCTGATGGTGTTTCCTGCTTGGCAGGGGGTTGGACTCGATGGCCCTTGTGGTCTCTTCCAACTCTATGATTCTATGATTCTATGATTCTATGATTCTATGAATCCCCACGACGGGGTGAGCTCCCGTTCCTCGGTCCCTGCTCCTGCCAACCAGCAGTTCGAAGGCACACCAGTGCAAGTAGATAAATAGGTACCACTCCAGCGGGAAGGTAAATGGAGTTTATGTGCACTCTGGTTTCCATCACGGTGTCCTGTTGCTCCAGAATCAGTTTAGTCCTGCTGGCCACATGACCCAGAAAGCTGTCTGTGGAAAAACACCAACTCCCTCGGCCTGGATGAGCGCTGCAACCCCATAGTCTCCTTTGACTGGACTTAACCGTCCAGGGATCCTTTACCTTTTTCTCTTAGGCTGATGGAAGTTGTAGTCCAAAGGAGGGCATCAAGTTGGGATTGGCTGCTTCTGCGTACCTCCTGAATACTCTCTCTCTCTCTCTCTCTCTCTCTCTCTCTCCTCCACAGGCCATTCTGAGCATGTTGCAGGACATGAATTTCATCAGCAGCTACAAAATCAACCGCCAGACCCTTGTCAGGTAGGATGTCAAGAGGGCTGTCTTTTTTTTCTCTCCCTTTCATAGACTCACACATTAGAATCATAGAATTGTAGAGCTGGAAGGGACCCCTAAGGGTCATCTAGTCCAACCCTCTGCAATATTTTTGCCCAACGTAAAGCTCGAACTCACAACCCCGAAATTAAGCATCTCGTGCTCTGCCAACTGAGCTGTTGCCTGCACCCGGCTTTTCCCCCAGACTGGGGCTCGAGGTGGCTTATAACAAAACAACACAGATTAAATACAAAAGGCCAGAAACGTATAAGAGCTTTATTAAAAGGTAATTGAACTCAGTTAGCATCAAAACAATCTAAAAAACAGAAACAGCACAGTGCTATTAAAAGCACTTTCCTTAAAAACAAAAACCAGCCAGTTCCCAAAGACCTGCAAGCAGTGCCGGATTTACGTATAAGCTAAACAAGCTATAGCTTAGGGCCCCAATCTCTTGGGGACCCCAGAAAAATTTAAAGGAAAAGAAACTGGATGTACATTTCCAAAATATAAGATAAAAAACAAATAAAATAAAACCTACATACAGCAACAGTGTTTTGTGTTGTGTAGGCTCCTATGATGTAAGTCATGGGCCCCACCTGCTAGCCTGCTCCCTCAAATATCACTGGTTTGTTCCTTTCTATATATAGGGTACCTACATTCTGCATGGACTGGTTGCAGGGCAACCTGTGCAAATGGCTTTAGATTCCTATTAGGTCCATCAATTACCATATAGCATATATATCCAACACAAATAACCGTGGCAATTTGTTGTTGACAAAGGACAGCTGGACATAGAAAGGGCCCCATTACCTCCAGTAGCTTAGGGCCTCGTCAAACCTCAACCCGGCCCTGCCTGCAGGAATATAACTATCTTCACCTGCTGGCGGAAGGACAGGGGTCTGGCTTCACTAGGCATGGACTTCCAAAGTTGCCTGGAAGCAGCCACCACAAAGAAGGCCCTTCCATTGTGGCTTAACGTGAGCAGGGGCCACGATGAAGCTGAGCCATTGAACTCAAACGCTGGGGAAAAGTCAGAGCCAGGAGGGTCCGTGTTTTCACTTGCTGAGCCCCAATGAGCCTCAGCCATCCCCACAATCTTGGAACTGCAGAAGGGGCAAGGGTCTCTCCAAAACTGTCTTAAGCACCAGGGTGCAAAGATGCGCCCGGCTTCCCCTCCCCCAGTGGCTCATTCCCAGGCACACAAGAGGGCCGAGCTGGCCAGCTCCCTCAGCATCTTGCTGGCTCAGTTGCCCCCGAACTCGCGGCACAGAGCCGCCCACAGCAGAAGAGCCTGCTGCGGCCAACGCACGGGCTCTTCCCAAGACTCAACTCTCGGGCCCCGGACTCTCAGCCTGGCACCCCTGAGAGCCCGGCGCCCGGGTGCCCCACACCCGTGGTGCCTATGGGTAAGATGGCCCTGGGTCTCTCCCCAGTGCCTGCCCCTCCACTCTCCACTTTGCCACTGGGAGGAGGAAGGCTGGGGCTTGCACGGCCCCTGGGTTGTGACCGAGAGCGCCCAAACCAAACGCCCCAAACTGGCTGTGCAGACTCAGTTATTTGGAAAGAGCAATTTAAGGGGTGCCCACTTTTAAAGGAACAATGGTCTTGAAAATGGCTGGGTTTCACCCACCGAGCTTTTTAGAGTGCCACATAATTTTCACTCCAGACTTATCATCATCATTATAAATGTATAAATGTATAAGTTCATTATACATTTAAATCCTGCACACTTCCTCCGAAGAAGCCAAGGGTGGCACAAAAATGGTATTTCAGTGTAGCAGCACCTGCGCTTTGCAACTCCCTGTCGATTGATATCAGGCAGGGCCTTTTGCTGTCGTATTTTCAGCGTTGGCTAAAAAAAACCACCTTTTTGTTTAAGCATGCCTACCCAGACATGTGCATCTGACATGTGTATTAATATGCAACTTTATTTGGGGGGGGGGGAGAGGAATAGACTAACTTTGGTGTTTTTTTTATGTTTGAATTGATCCTGAATTTTAATGTATATTGAATGTACACTACTTAGTAGTTGGCTTCTTTTTATGACCAAATGGAGTGCAAAATCTATTAAATAAAGATGAAAATAGCCAGTGTCATTCTCACCAATGGGCTTCTTTTTTTGGGGGGGGGGGTTTCCTCACAGGTTCTGCCTGATGGTGAAAAAGGGATACAGGGACCCCCCATACCACAACTGGACCCATGCCTTCTCGGTCTCCCACTTCTGCTACCTGCTCTACAAAAATCTGGAGCTGGTCAATTACTTGGAGTAGGTGGACGATGCTTTGCTTGCCAAAGGGAGGGGGCAGAGTTTACGCCAGGGATCAGCCACAGAGCGCATGGAGGCAGGGACAGGAGAGGGTGTCCTGGTGATGTGGAGCTTGGTGGGGTATCTTCTTCTTTGGCGATCCCTCGTAGCCGAGCAAGATTGTCTTCCATAAACACAGTTTTAACAATGAGTCTGTAAGTGACTGTGGAGGCCAAACATGTCCTTCCACAGTGGGGACATTGGTTTCTGGGCAGGAGCTGATCACGGTGAGGGTTTGCCAAGCGTGCAGCTCTCCTTATGTTCCAGCTTCATAGAATCACAGAATTGCAGAGTCGGAAGTGACCACGAGAGTCATCTAATCCAACCCCCTGCAATGCAGGAATCCTTTGCCCAACATGGGGCTCGAACCCATGACCCTGAGATTAAGAATCTCAAGCTCTACCAGCTGAGCTAAGGACCCACATCCTGACTCCGGATCCAATACTGACCTCTTGCTCCCATGTTCCCTGGGTACTTGACAAGGTCCCCTCCCCCTCTGCTTTAAGAAAATGAAATACTTTGGATCTGAGGGTGTGCTTGGTTAGCAGGGGGGCACCAGGTTGGGGAGGCTGAGCGAAGATGCCACCTCCGGCTCCCCTGGGGCTGGTTTGCATATGGGGTGCCTCCTCTACTGCCAAATTTGGGAGCAGCCCAGGCATCTCAGAGCCCTTCCGCAGCTCATACGTGGTTTTTGCTCTTTTTCCCTTCGACAGAGACATCGAAATCTTTGCTTTGTTCATCTCCTGCATGTGCCACGATCTGGACCACAGAGGCACCAACAACTCCTTCCAGGTTGCTTCGGTACGACTTTTTATTTATTTATTCCACATTACGGTTTATTTATATGTCATCTTTCAGCCCAAAAGGCTCCTGAGAACAAATGTACAAATGCAATATTGCAAATGCAAAATAACAACGCGGATGGCGCCAATTCAAAACGTTTCTGCAGTCTTTCCAAACCAAACATGCCTGTGTCCCTGCCGAAAAGAACATTCCTTGCAACAATGTGAAGGGGAAACAAAAATATTCAAGCAGAACCCATCTTCAAGAAAGGGAGGGAGAGGTTTGGGGTCTCGTATCGTCCTGGATTAAGACAGCAGCTTGGGTTCCTTGAGGTGATGTCTCTTTATTTTCTCTTTTCAGAAATCGGTCTTGGCTGCCCTGTACAGCTCAGAAGGCTCAGTGATGGAGGTAAAACTATTACAGATATTATTAATATTGTGCAGTTTGAAGCGGCTGGATGCATGAAAACTGACTCCTTATTGAAAATAAAACAGTGTCGAGGTTCCTGCCCTCTGGAGCAGCAGAAAGCAAGCTGGCTGCATCTTTTAAAACAACAACAACAACAATTTATTATTTATACCCCGCCCATCTGGCTGGGTTTCCCCAGACACTCTGGGTGGCTTCCAACAAAATATTAAAATACAATAGTCCGTCAAACATTAAAAGCTTCCCTAAACAGGGCTCCTTCAGATGTCTTCTAAAAATCTGGTAAAAATCTGGTTGTTGTTCTCTTTGACATCTGGTGGGAGGGTGTTCCACAGGGCGGGTGCCACTACTGAGAAGGCCCTCTTCCTGGTTCCCTGTAACTTGGCTTCTCTCAGCAAGGGAACCGCCAGAAGGCCCTCGGAGCTGGACCTCAGTGTCTGGGCAAAACGATGAGGGTGGAGACGCTCCTTCAAACAAAAATATCTTCAGTAGGTGCCTAAACCCCATGATGCGGGGCGCCTGTCTAATTTCAGCTGGCAACTGATTCCAGAGGGCTGGAGCTGGGACACTAAAATGGCGTGTTTTTCTCTCTGCACAGAGGCACCATTTTGCTCAGGCCATCGCCATCTTAAACACCCACGGCTGCAACATCTTCGATCATTTCTCTCGGAAGGTGAGTCAGAAGAGAGTCAGCAGTTCCCGGGGTCTCACAGCGAAAAGCATTGATGGGTAAAGCCGGTCATTTCTCGACACTCCGTCATCTACAACCTTGTGCACTCCAGGACCACGACACCCATCAACCTCAGCCAGCATGACTGGCAGCTGTCTCGTGTGTCACCGGCAGCTGATATAATTTCAGGAGGGTGTCACATAGAATTGAAAAGTTGGAAGTGACCAGGAATCACAGCCAAAGCATCCTTGAGAGATGTCCACACACATCCTGACTCCAAGGAAGGAGACTCCACCGCCTTCCGGGGAAGTCCGTTCCACAGTCAAATGGCTCTCGCGGCCGGAAGGTTCTTCCTTGTTTTTGGTCGGAATCTCCTTCCTTGTGACTCAAAGCCATGGAGCAGAAGCCTGTTCCATCTTCCGTGCAACAGCCCTTAAGATATCTGAAGATGGCTCTCCTATCATCACCTCTCAGTCTTCCTGTCTGTGATTCCTTGGAGGACCTGAAATTCATGTTGCCTCTCCAAGGCAGCCTATCTCCCTGTCAGGAGTTCAGCCTACACTCGAGTAGGACCCTGGCAGAGACACATGCCCGACTGGCATGTTCCCTCCCTCCTGGTCGATCGTTCGGGAGCTTCAAAAGCTTTCTTCAGCCCGAACATCACAGTGACCGATGGCAACTGACACCGGCACACTTAGGGATGTGCAGAGTTTGCGCAACTTGCACGTGACAGACCTCAGCAACTCAGCATTTTGGCTAATCGACTTTATTTACATATAAACACACACGGAACTCTGCAACATGGCTCCCTCTCTCTCTAGCATCAGACAGCAAAGAGAAAAAGAACAAAGGACAATAGTCCCACTTCGCGGAACCAGTAGCACAAACATCCCGTTTCCATCACTTCCCACTCTGTGGAATAAAAACATACACCATCATGTGATAGACAACAATCCCATGACTGCCATCAGGGAGCAGGAATTCTAACACTCCCGCCCCCACTGGGCTACCTGCTCCCCCGAGGTGAAAAGCAACAACTTCTGTGGGAATGTTGTGGATAGTAGGAGAGGATATGTTGATTAAATATTATCCTTTCTCACTCATGCAAGTGAGCTGGTGACAGAGAACATTCCCTTGTACATTGCAGGCAGCAAGTTGATGGATTTGTCTGAACTGTTTGAGTTAAGCAATCCGTTGTGGCTTTTCCAGATTGGGTTGTTCCTGGTAAATCCCCTTTAGGTAAAGGTAAAGGGACCCCTGGCCGTTAGGTCCAGTCATGGACGATTCTGGGGTTGCGGCGCTCATCTCGCTTTACTGGCCGAGGGAGCCGGCGTACAGCTTCTGGGTCATGTGGCCAGCATGACTAAGCGCATCTGGCAAACCAGAGCAGCGCACGGAAACACCGTTTACCTTCCTGCCAGAGCGGTACCTTTTTATCTACTTGCACTTTTGGGCGTGCTTTTGAACTTCTAGGTAGGCAGGAGCAGGGACCAAGCAACGGGAGCTCACCCCATTGCGGGGATTTGAACCGCCGACCTTCCGATTGGCAAGCCCTAGGCTCTGTGGTTTAACCCACAGTGCCACCCGCGTCCCATAAAATCCCCTTTAGTTCCCTCTTAAAAACAATAATGACACAACAGTCTTCTTTTAAATGTCACGATAAGGTTTACTTACATTCAGTTCACAGTATGATCCTGAAGGCAGGCATGAGCTTGTAGTTACAGTTACAGAGAAATGTGTGGGTTCATCCTCTGAGCCCTTGTCTTTCTTCTTTGTCAATCCCTCGTAGCCGAGTAAGATTGTCTTCCATGAACACGGTTTTAACAATGAGTCCGCAAATGACTGTGGAGGCCAGTTCTGGATCCACATGTCCTTCCACAGCGGGGACATTGGTTTCCAGGCGGGAGTTGATCACGGTGTGGATTTGCCAAGTGTGCCTTCCTTGTAGCACGTTTCTCCCTTGCATCCTGAGTTTGAGTGTCTTCCAAGCCCATGACACCTTTGGTAAAGGCTGTTCTCCAATTGGAGCACTTGCAGGCCAGTGTTTCCCAATTGTTGGTGTTTATACCCTATTTTTGTTAATTTGCCTTGAGAGAGTCTTTGAACCTCTTTTGTTGACCACCGGTATTAAGCCTTCCATTTTTAAATTCGGAATAGAGTAGTTGCTTTGGAAGACGATCATCAGGCATCTGCACAACACAATCAGCCCAACAAAGTTGATGTTGAAGAATCATTGCTTCAACACTGGTGATCTTTGCTCCTTCCAGTACACTGGTATTTGTTTGCCTGTCTTCCCAAGTGATGTGTAGAAATTTCCGGCTGCAGCAGACAACAAAAGACATCAAGTAAGCAAGACCAAGAGAGTAAGGGGAAGATGGCTGCGTGACTAGCCCCTTTATAAGGACTCCCAGGGTCGTGCCCATCTACCTGGTCACACGCAGGGGGAGGATGCTCTGGACCAGGTGTGACAGTAAGTCCTCCTGGATGGAGCAACATTCCCCTGTGTGTCCACTCTGGGCAAACAGGGAATGTTGTACTTAACTGCTTTGGTGATGTTACACCCCTCAACTTCCAGTCTTATTGTCCCAATAGGATTACCAAAGGATGCTGGACTTGATGAGAGACATTATCCTGGCTACAGACCTTGCTCACCACTTGAGGATCTTCAAAGACCTCCAGAAAATGGCTGAAGGTAACCAGGGGTTCACCTGTCTGGGGCCTCCCATGTCAGGGAGAGGCAAATGGGAAAAGATGAAAGGACAGAAACCAGCAGTTATAGAGAGCCTAAAGAGATTATCAGCAGCCTGTCGTCTGACAGTGGGTCTGACGTAGAGGGGGAGGAGGATGAGCCTGGAACAAGTCATTCTGTACACAGAGGAAGTCAGGGGAGGAGTTTCCGCAGACTTGCATGCTGGGTATGGAAAAGGAAGAAGAAAGATTTGAGGCAGCAACTGCACAACAACGGGACGGACGCTAATTGAAATGCTGGAGATGTATGTTTGAACTTTGTCAAATAAATCAAATAGTTTGGAACTGGCTGGGAGCCCGGAGTCTTATCTATGCCAGCTGGACAGCATTAAGCCTCCGACATCCCAGGTGGAGCCAGATGTGAAGGGCGTGGCCACCAGATTTCTAAAGTTGGAAGGGAGTCTCCCTACATAATAGCTACACACACTCACACAACTACTACAACAACAACAATTTATTCCTGTCTTATGACAAGGAAACAGAACCCGGGGCTAGGATCTATTGGTTTTCTTGCGTTGAAATATCTTCCTCGAATACACAATTCAGTCTAGCCCACAGGAAATATTAGGTATGAACCATAGAAGAAGTTAGCCCGGTTTTCCAGTAACGCACAAAAACTTAAAACACACTGCTCTCTCCACCTTCGTCTTTTCAGACACATCCCTAGCATAGCTGTCAACATTTCCCCTTTTTTAAGGGAAATTCCTTTATTCCGAATAGTATTCCTCGCAAGAAAAGGGAAAAGTTGACAGCTATGATCCCTAGGGGGATGAGAGCTAGAAAGAAAACAAA